TAGTGAATCATATTTAGAAAACAAGATCTGGGTGCCAGTTATTCTTATGGTTACTGGGCTGTCATTGTTTCTAGGCTTTTTCAAAAGACAGAGCTAGGAAATATATGTGTATGTGTGTGCATTTATTTATTTCTACATTTAAAATATTACTATATTTCCTTTTCTATATTTATATCAACCTACATGTATAAAAAAGTACGAGTTCATACTGATGCCTTCAATTTCAATCCAAAACCATAGTAAAGACTTAAGTTTTAATTACTCTTTTGAAACTGTGCCAAAGCTCACTGGCTTGAAGTCTTTAAATTCACTATGTTGTAGAATAGGAGCTAGAAGATATCATGGAACTGCATAATGACAGTCATCTATCCATGCACTTACTAATTCAAAAAAACGTATTGGACACTTTTAATGTGCTCGGCACTAGGCTAGGAATATGGAAAGGAACAAGACTTTGTCCCTATTCTGAGTAGCTCAATCTATTAGGGAAGAGAGAAGAATAAAATAGCAATTATGATGTATAAGTTTCATATTAGAGGTACATACAGTGTTCTATGGGCGAGAAAGGTATCCAGCCCAATTTGAATAAACTGGATTATTTCAGAGAAGGAAACAAAATTTGGCTGCTCATACTACTCACTGTCAGAGTTCTTGGATTACTGTGTTTGCACAAAATAGAGGTATCTACTTCTGAGGAAAAGTACATTTTATGGAGAGCTCTAATTTATTTCAGAATTCTCTGCATTGATGAATCATCAAAAAACTGCTCAGCCATGATAATGCCTACATAAATAAGTTCCCAGAGAATCAACATTAACTTGTATGAAGGTTAGGTTTCACTCTTTCTATAAGACTCCTCCCAATGAACATAAAAGAAAGGAAAATTTTCAGACATTGTCAAACTGCCTATTACCTTTTTTTTTTTTTCCTTAGTTCTTCCTCTTGAAGTACAAATTAAATCAACTGGCTTGTCATAGTATTGATTGCTACACTAACTTTCTCTTATCTAAACTTAAACAAGAGAGTTTGAGGGGAAGATTTTGTGCATGTGTGTGTATGAAAGAGAAACAGAGAGGTATGTGAGCTATAAGAAGAAAATGAGGTAGAAAGTGTTAGGTAATGCAGTGTGTTGTTGTTGTTGTTGTTATGTGCCGTCGAGTCATACCTGACTCATAGTAAATTACATATTATGCCTTTTCATAGTCTTTGTAAACTCCATGGTGGAATTTGCCATGAGCAACTGAGTAACTCCTGATTGTTATACACCTGGGGTATTTCTGTTGAGAGCGGCAAGAAGCAATCTTCTGGGAGGTTTGCTCTCTCTCAGATGTATAGAATTCTGATGTTGGGACTGGTTAGTTTGGCCATTCTGTCACACTCAAAAGGAGCCTTTCTAGAGGCAGAAAGAGTCTCTCTGACTGCCAGCTGAGAAACACACTGCTGAAAGAGACATGCTGATGCTGAGAGACACACGAGAGAAACATGTTGCTGAGAGACATGAGAGACTGTCAGTTGAGAGACAACCAACTGAGAAATGGCCAGCTGAGAGAGACTGAGTGCATTCCTGAACTTGAATTGTAGCCTGTTGCTTCCCTAATAAGCCCCATAATCAGTGAGTTGTGTGTGGCCACTGCAGTGAATTATTGAACCCAGCAGAGAGGTGGTGGATGCCATGGGAGGAATGCTGGGGTCAAGGTTAGTAAGCAGGCTGGAGGGTGGTGGCATGTCTGGCCTCATAGGAGCAGGCATCGGGCTGCTGATGGTGATTCTCTCCTCCTGTTGTGTAGTTAGAGGAGGTCAGAAGGTGCCTCCTCCTCATCTCTTTGGCAGTGGGTGTCAAAAGTAGTGTGATTCGTTGCAGTGGCTCCAAGACTCATAGAAGCATGGGACTTTGCAAAAGAAAGAAGGAAAGGGCCTGGGAAGTGAAACTTTGGATTCTTAGATAGTTGCTTTGCTTGGTGTTACCTATTAAAGGAGATAATTGATCCAGAGGCTAGGGATTTTGGTTATATCCAGCCAAAGGCCCAAAGCCATACACATGGAAGGGGAAGGTAATTAAGGTGAAGAGATGAACCTGGAATGCCTTAAAATGGATATGTGTTTTGGATATTGTGTGTATTTGAATGTACGGGTATTGAATGTTCTTTTATCTACTTGTATATTAGAAATGATTATGGGGTTTAGATAACGGAAAGCTGTTAAGTCTGCCTTCAGCTAATACTTGATTGGATATGTTAAAAGGGTAAATACAATTTAACCAGCAGAAACAAAGGCTTTTGTTTCAAACCCTGTGTGTAGAATATAGGGGGCTTAGGTAGAAAACCTGAGCCCCACCCAGAACTACTGAGAGAATAGAAGATTTGCATTTGAAGAAAGGACCTGGAGGGAGAGAGAGAGAGAGAGAGAGAAAGAAAGAAACAGATTGTTTGGCTTTTTGAATTTTGAGCAAGCAGTTAGGCTTTTGGTGCATCCAGGCAGTAAAGTCATGGCCCTTGAGAGAAACTCCTTCCAGGCCTGGAAGTTAAAGGGAGCCAGCAAGTAGTAGACTTGTATGCTGCTCGCTTGTGACCACCTGGGTTGCCTTGAGTGGAAATAGGGGAAATGCAGCAATGAAGAAATGGGCTGAGTTTGGTATTCATTGACCTAGGCCATCAAGGCTAGGGATGAGAAGGGCTGGCTGGTCTGAAGTACGAGTTGTGAGCCTGCAGGCATTGAAATATTCCCTGGGGACTGAGAATGTGAGAGAGAAGGTGCTGGCTGGTTTGGAGTGACTATAACTTGGCAGCTGGAACCCATGACCTAGCTGGGATGGCTAGGGCTGACCTGACCAGAACCTGACCAAATGAAAAGGAAGATGTTTGACACTGAGCTAGTGTAATGCTGCTGCAATTTAGTGGCTTGCACTGGGTTGGACTTTGCTTACAGGTGCAGATGCCCAAAGTTTCCAAGCAGGACAGAAATTCTCCAGAAAGGAAGGAACATGCTTGTCTTTTTAGTATACTGGTTTGATAGGGACAGGCAAATCAGAAATTGCCTATTTAAAATGGGGGGAGATAAAGGCATAAATTTGTGGGCTTACATGCTTTCATGGGTGTGGTTATTCTCAAATTGATTGTACACAGGATGTTACTTTTTGAAATATAAAAGGGATAATGGCTAGAAAAGCCATGAGATGGCCTGTGGTGTACTCTATATAGTACGGCTTTTCTAGCCATTGTTGTTATGTGCTGTGAAGTCAGACCCGACTCATAGTGACCCCTCCTTGGGTTTCCGAGGTGGTATCACTACAGAAGTAGATTGCACAACCTTCCTTCTGAGGAATGGGTGGTGGGTTTGAACCGCTAGCCTTCTGGTTAGCAGTCAAATGCCTTAGGCACTATGCTACCATAGTCTTTGTAAACACTGGGGTGGAATTTGCCATGAGCAACTGAGTAGCTCTTGATTGTTAAAGTTAGCCACCTGGGGTATTTCTGTTGCGAGCGGCACAAAGCAATCTTCTGGGAGGTTCGGTCTCTCTCAGGTGTATGGAATTCTGATGTTGGGATTGGTTAGTTTGATTACTCTGCCAGGCTCAAAATGAGCCCTCCTAG